CTGCTGAAGCTATCTACATGCTTCTTCTTACCGGCATCCTGAGCAGCCCGCTCTGCCAAGATAAGGAGTTTGATACTAAATTCAATCTTCCTGTCTGGGCTAGCTGCTTCCCCCTTCCTGTGAATGCTGTTTACATCAGCACAGTCAGGAGAGTCCTCCGAGCAGGCAGAGTGCTGACTATCCCAAAGCTTCTCTGCCTTAGCTGAAAGACTGATTTTAATTACTACCACGTACATTTAATTATCTTATAGTAAGGCCATATTGCTCGTATTTAAATAGAGATTGAAAAATTCAGTAGACACATTATGACTCTCCTACCACCTAGTTAGCATTTTTTCCCTCTCTGTAGACAACCACATTTTAAATAGATGTATTTAGGGTACTTGGGGCAAGAATATTATGAGTTTGTCTGACCAAGATTAAAATGTCTTCCTCCTCTCTGCCTCCCTGTTCTTTAGTGCAAGCTCCAAGGTTGTAAGGGTTTCAGTTTCACTAAACTCTCGTGAAGAATTTCAAGCTCATTTGCCTATATTTGAATAACAGTTATAAAGCACCAGCTAACAGGATTTTAGCAGCCCTGAATGAATGTAGCTCATACCTAAAACTTATCACTGGGAAACAGCTTTAAACTGCAGGGAGCCCGTCTCACACTTTTTAGAGGAAAACCCCCAAGCTCAAGCGAGTTGTGTTCAGCTCACTTGTCCCTGTAGCACAGCATCCTCGTGCAAACAAACCATTTCTCTCTGGGGATGTAGTTCCTCTCCCCTGCACGTTGCTTCACTGTGCAGCTCAGGGTCCCAGTTTGGAAGTGACCGAGGGCAGAGGATGGGGGTGGATTCACCCCCATTTTCTGGGCCAGACCCCTGGGACTGCAGGTAAGTCATCCCACAAGTCTCCAGGAGGGGACAACTCCCGTCCATATGAGGTTTTGTCCTTCCTGTTGGCAAATGTTTTGCAGTCATTTGAACTTCCTCCTGCAGCACACCATTTTTATCTCTTCTATTTAGGTGTGTCCGCTTCAGTTTAGAACTAAACAAACCAACGCAAACTAACAAATCAAAAAATACCCCACCCACAGAACAATACTTATTTCTTGCCTGAAGAAAATGTCTCCACAAAACTTTTCTACACGCAGCTTTTCACAGTATGCCACTCAGCCTTGCTTGTTACTACATTCTCTGCTACAACTTCTCCTTCAACTCTTTCTCCTGTAAGAAGGAAGGAAGGAAGTAAAAAAATGTGAGAGATCACTCACCTATGGTGTAACGAGGCTAAATTTAGATGATACTCGCTACCAGCAAAATAAACAAGTTCTAATTTTATGTTTTAATATATATTTGTGCTCTAGTTAAAAGCACCTCAATGCTTCAGACACTGACGCTGACTTTGTAACTACAGAAATAGTCCTAACTTCACAGGCCAATGGAGATCATATTTACTTCTGTCTATTGACCTACCAAGGAATCTGACGAGAGTTTAAGCTGACACAATCTTTTAAAACCTACTCTTCATCAAAACGTTATCCATGGCTAATGGCTGATGAACCGCAAGATGCAGGTGTTTGGAAGATTCTCACTGCCATTAGTCAGATGCTGCATAGCATCTCCCATGCTCCACATTGCTTCCCTATACACAAAACAACCTTTTGGCATTTCTGAATCTAGGCTTTTTACTATTTTCTTTATAAGACCTGCCATCTTTTTACAACCTGGGCAATGTGCTATATATGTTTCATATTGGACATTATGAGAGTCTGAATTACACAACCTTTGCTTACAAGAATTGCTTAATGACATTTTCAGGGAAAATTAACTTGGTCTGAATGAAACGCAAATCCTGGAGGTCCACCATCATATTTGACAAGTTGTGGCACTCCAGTGAAGTCCCCTCTGACTGGAAGAAAGGAAACATAACCCTCATTTTTAAAAAGGGAAAAAAATGAAGACCCAGGGAACTGTTTGTAGGCCAGTCAGTCTCACCTCTGTGCCTGGCAAGATCACGGAGCAGATCCTTCTGGAAACTATGTGAAGGCACGTGGAAAATAAGGAGGTGGTTGGTGACAGCCAGCATGGCTTCACTAAGGGCAGGTTGTGCCTCACAAATGTGGTGGCCTTCTGCAACAGGGTTACAGCATTGGTGGGCAGGGGAAGAGCAACTGACATCATCTACCTGGACTTGTGCAAAGCACTTGACACTGTCCCCCATAATATCCTGGTCTCTAAATTGGAAAGACATGGATGTGATGGATGGACCACTCTGTGGTAAGGAACTGGCTGGGTGGTAGCACTCAGAGCTGTGGTCAATGGCTCAGTGTCCAGGTGGAGATCAGTAACGAGTGGTGTTCCTCTGGGGTCGGTATTGGGACTGGCACTATCTAACATCTTTGTGACTGACATGGACAGTGAAATCGAGTGCACCCCCAGCAAGTTTGCTGATATCACCAAGCTGTGTGGTGCATTCGTGACACGCAGGAGGGAAGGGCTGCCATCCAGAGGGACCTGGGCAGGCCTGAGAGGTGGGCCTGTGTGAGCCTTGTGAGGTTCAACAAGGCTGAGTGTGAGGTCCTGCATCTGGGCCAGGGCAATCCCAAGCACAAATACAGGCTGGGTGGAGAACGGACTGAGAACAGCCCTGAGGAGAAGGACCTGGGGGTGGTGGTGGATGAGAAGCTCAACATGAGCTGGGAATGTGCACTTACAGCCCAGAAAGCCGACCGTATCCTGGGCTGTATCACAAGCAGCGTGGCCAGCAGGGCGAGGGAGGTGATTGTCCCCCTCTGCTCTGCTCTCGTGAGACCCCACCTGGAGTGCTGGGCAGCTGGGGAGGTACTGTCAGGAGTGGAGTGATAGGACAAGGGGGAATGGATTTAAACCAAAAGAGGGGAGGTTTAGATTAGATGTTAGAAGGAAATTCTTCACCCAGAGGGTGGTGAGGCCCTGGCACAGGCTGCCCAGAGAAGCTGTGGATGCCCCATCCCTGGAGGTGCTCAAGGCCAGGCTGGATGGGGCTTTGGGCAACCTGGGCTGGTGGGAGGTGTCCCTGCCCATGGCAGGGGGTGGGACTGCGTGGGCTTTAAGGTCCCTTCAAACCCAAACCATCCTGTGGGTCTGTGGTTCTATGATTTAGTTCTTCCACTGTGGTTGCTAGAAGATAACCAAACATACATATGTGTATAGATACACACACACACATATTCTTTAATACGCTTCCTTAGCTAAGGGCTAAAAAATTAACTGCTTCCTTATTAGTTAAGGACCACTTCAGTAATTTGGATGAAATCACACAAAAATCAAGTGAAGTTGCCACAGATCTAGCTGTCCTATTTATAATTACACCAATATGAGACAAGTAAAAAAAGCCTAAATTGGTTGAACGTAAACCTTCATTATTTTAGGAAAAAAAAAAAAAGTGTAAGGTTGTATGAACGAAGCAGAAGTCTGACCTGTAATGCTCAGTGGTGTTGCTCTGCCCTCTACAGACTAGATTGCATAATCACATTTTACCCCCAATGACATCTTTTAAAAGCACATCTAGCATAGCAGAATTAAAGTGAATTAATGTGAATTCAACATGCATAGGAGCTACCTTCTAAACACACACTGTAACACTACAAGTCGTAGGATAAGTCAGGAGTACTCGTGAGCCCGTGTTTTCTGTGTTCTTACCACGTCCATGTTGCACACTTGGTTCTGAAGTAATTATGGCCTAAATAGCACCAACACCTAGAGTCCAAACTCAAAGTGGCTTATAGGAGATATTTATGTCTATTACTCTATTGTGTGCTATTCAGTATTTCTTCGTGCTGGAGAAAGATTTATTCTAACTACTGTAATGTAGAGCAAATTCTTGCTGGTACTAAGAAAAGTTTTCTACAGCAAGATCCAGGGGACAGCAAATGCTGTGATTCCTGGACTGACACTGCAATTTTAAGGGACCAGCATGAAACTAGTGGTAACCTGCCCTGACTGATACCCCAAGGTACCAGCATCCCAGTCCACAGCTTTAGCTGTGTGCCACCTCCCACAGCAATTGGCTCCACCTTTTATCCTAGATAAATGTCCAAGAAAGGTGGTGAGTGCACTTTTATGAACTCGCTGTCCACATGTTATCTGGTAAAGAATGATAAAGCTCATTTACTTCTTAGGTATTTGCTACATCCCCACTGATGTGAGGAAAACAACCACATACTTACTTGTTTCTTATGATTTGGACAATGTTTTTTTTCCGTAGGGGGATTTCATAACCCTTCCAACAGAGAAAACAGGGTCCTGCAGCATTTTCACAAGTCTTCTCTTGGCTAAGAACAACACATTAGAGTCACAGTTTACAAGAAACACAACTCAGATTTGTTCCAACTTTGCATTTTATTGATGTGTCTACATTCAAAAAATACTTAATGTACACATGACCAGTCCCAGGCATCATATGTGGCTCTCACCAGCACCTGACACTCCTTTATTTCCATCCCACACAGGATGGCCTGTCTGTCGTTATTGGGTGTCAAACCACAGGCGAAATTGGTCGGGCCCCATGCAAAAAAAGCCTGTCTGGAAGAAGAATTTGCCTAGGCAGCTTCCAACGTAGCCAACTGTGTGACTCCCACATGTGCTGGTTACATGACCTGACCCAAAGACTCACATGTCAGGAAACAAGAGAAGTGAGCAGTCCTCTAACACGTGGAAGCATCCAGTGCCTGGCATTTACAGAATACCTTCAGTACAAAATTGAAATGGCTAATAAAAAAAAGAGTATTTAATTTTCTACAATGCAGAGCTTGCCATATGTAATGCTATTACACTTCTGGAAGTCAAATTTTATGGCAGGCTAATATCCTTAATAACTACTCTTTGGGGCTATATTCAGAGTCTGGGTTGGACATCCTACAAAACATACATCTATGTTTGCACATAGAACAAGTGAGATAGAACAGCACGTTAAAATCTCATAAAGGAAAGCTATAAAAATGTATTAGGTACATCAGAATTTGATTTTTATTCATCAGTAGTGCAGGAACACTGATTTGGAGAAGTTGGTAAGACATTAAACCACTGGCTACATTTCTAAGTGGATTCTTCTTTTGTCATACTTCATTGCTTCTGTTTTGTTGAGGGATCTGCTACAGACTAAAGCTGCAGGCTAGAAAATTTCCAAGCATACCACCCAAGCCCAAAGAAAGTCTCAAGTTTTCACCTTGCCCGCTTCACAAACAGAAATGGTATTATTTCTTCTGAAGCAAAAACTGGAGGAAAACAATGGTCACATTTATACTTGGCAAAACTGTTCCCCAGTACTTCCATTTGACAACAGCTGAATGGCATTCTTCAACAAAATTCTTTATATAATCCCTGCTATCTCAGATAACTGACACGGAAGTATCATATAAGGTCTGGGCTACATCTTGAGAACCCTTCTGCAATCTTATAATACCATCAAATTGACATGCAAGCTGCGATTTTACATTTCTTTACATTCTTTTCATTGGAAGGCTTTGGAGTGGTTTGTAACATCTACCACTGAAGAAAGCAAAAGTAGGGGAATCAAATACTGAAAGCTACTCTTCTTTCCAACAAAATAATTACATTTAATGACACACTAACTATTCTCAGATCTTGGAATGTGCTGAATTCTGTAATGGAAAGCCATACAATAAGCACATTTCTGCACATTTAAAACTTCACCTGGACAAATTGTTGTCATATCCCACCACTCTAATCAAGGCCAGAACCAAGTACACTTGAATAAACATGATGAGTTCAGGGAATGCTCAGGTTCCCATATACATTTACCAATAAAGACTATCTTCTAACATTTTCAGGGCTCAGAGTGGTCTTAATGGTGTTAGTGATATGATTGCTTGATAACAATCTCTCAAGAGAGCACCGTGTTTCTGCAACTCTCTAGGCTAACAGAAGAATAGGGATGAGATGACCCAGGAGTATTACTGACTACTGGTATCAATTGATACTTGTGACAATTGTGTTCACTTCTCTTACACTCTTAGTCCTTTTGTCTCAATTCCTTCTTAGCCTCCCTTTTTCAAGCGCTTCAGGCCGTCTTCTTGTCATTAAAATCACTAAGAAGGATGCCTTGAACTTTGTTTCTGCCTGGGTTGCTCCACATGCTTGGTCGTGCAAACTGTTCCAGAGGGGGGTGACTATTTCTGTGTGTTTGTTTAAAACAGGCTAGAGGAGAAATGCTTCTGTTCCAAGTCACATGAGACTGGGTCTCATGAACTGAGATGCCTGTTAGGACTTCCCCTGATTGCTGCTCACAAGTTGCAAGCCTAACTTGTTCCCCACATTATGGCACAACTTCCAGTGGAAATCCAGGCCAAAACAGCATCCCATGGGGCTACTTGGTCAGCAGCCTCAAATGGCCTTGGGACAGGTGAGCCACAGAAACTTAGCACTTTTTGAAATTCATTCTTCTTCAGGAAGAAGAATGGATTTTCTTCTTTTCCAGAGCTTGCTAGAAAATTAAGTACTACTGCTGTGTTCTTCTCTTACCATGAACACATTGGTGTTCTCCAGTAATGGAAATTCCTCAGACACACCTGAGAAAACTCAGGAACACTTACTTCCAATATTGGACTGCAGGTCCTCCACAGGCTCTAAAAAACACTCACAAAAGTGCAAGACACACAGTACATTATGCCTCTGGTCACTACCAGGATCTGCTCTTTCCGAGGGGTACAGACAAGGCTACAGATTCAAGAGATGACTTCTGAAAGAAAGACCATGCAATTTTTTTGAAAAAGCTCAGAAAAAGAGCAGATTGATCATGAACGGATTAGGGCCATGAACAAAACTTAACAAAAACTGGAATGATCTGTATCCCTACAATTTGTACAAAGCAAGTAATTTTGAATTTATTGGTACAGTTTCACATACCAAAAATACAAGCAGACTTCCCATTTTGGGACACTTTTGAATGTAATGATTGCCAGCAGTGGTAATTCTTACCTTCTTTCTCCTCTCCCCAAACCCAAACCCATTTCCTGTGTTACTTACACAAAATGAAAACGAGCTCATAAGGTACACAGTATTAATTGTAATCAAGACAATTCACCACGTAACAAGATACTGGAAGTAGTTTTATGAAGTTATTGGGGGAAGGGAGTGTGTCGCAACAGGACAGTTACACTTTCTGAATATGTAATATTTTGAAGTGAAGCTGAAGTGAAAACTAAGTGAAACTTAAAAAGATAAATTTGAAATTCAGTGGGGATATATATTTTTTCTCACTCTTCAAAGCCTGTACCTTTTTTCCCTTGAAAATATTGATAGGTGTCATATACTTTTCAGAGTATCTTTAAAATTATAAAATATTTAATAATTGCACAATAACCTGTTCATCTCTTGCAGTGAAGGCTGAAGGGAAGTCCAAGAAATTCACTGTAGTAAAAGTCCCGCGTCAGCAGAAAGCGCTTTGAAGAAAGCAGTACAAACTGGAAGGAAATTTCCAACACCTGCAGTTTTTGGCTGCTGTTGGCTAAAACAAAGTTTTGGGGTGTGCTAAAACCTCTGAGATGAGAGCTGATCTTGTAGCTTACTTTTAAAGAGATCTACAACCATTTGTTCATTAACAGCTACGAGAAAAGCAGAACAGTATTAATTTCTGTGTAGAAATTCATATGCTTGTGTGAAATGGCTGTATCTTGGCCCACTTTTTTCTTTGAGTCCAACATTTTGCAGACAGGAGAAATAAGGCTCTCTTCCAGATAAGAGGAACATGCTCTTTGCCCTGTGCCTTAATCTGTTGATTTCCTTCCTTCCTTTAACGCTGTTGAATGTGAGCTTTAACCTCATTTAGTCTCCAGAAAGCCTCCAAATTGGTTGCTTCTTCCATTAATTTAACTCCTCATATTGCTTGAAAGACAAAGTGAAAAAATGCTTTTGGATTGAACTCTGGGTGTTGCCATCTATTTCTAGATATAAATATTCAGGTTTCCGTCTGTTGTCTGAAAACTGTGTAGGAAACGGAGCCTGTGACCTGTTTCCATACAGAATCAGGTGCCACACACAAGAAGCCTTCATTCTGCATGTTTACCACAAACCCACCGAAGCTGCTGGTCTGTTTGGAGGTCAGTTAATTCATCAATGGATCTCCAGCTGCACTGACAAGCGTATGCTCGCGATCCTTTCTTCTTTATCATCTTTGCTCTTAGTTTACTGAGCTCAGGCATGTTATTCCTGTCAATCAAATGAGTTCAGTTTAGAATCATGCTTTTTTTTTTTAAAGAAAAAAAGACACATGAGGCAATTTGAATTCAGAAAAGCTCTTAAGAATATTTCTTAGTACCATTGTCATGAACGAATTTAGAGATATGATTAAGTTCTGTTTTGAACACAATCCTTTCTTGAGAGCAGAACTCAGTGTGTAGTTTCTGTATTCTCAGATCAGCTAAAGTGTAATCTTTTTGTAAGCAATGTCCTCAGTTTGGTTCAGAGATGCTCCTTCAGCCTCCAAAGAGTTTGGAAGAAAACCAGGTAGAGTCAATTGTCTTACCGAGAAATTATCCAAAAATGTATTAGTCTTATTTAGCTTACTGTAAAACTCCCTATGCAGAATGGGTATAACTACAGGGATAAAAATGTTATTAGTAGCTGTTTCTCAAGTTGGTCATCAAAGTGACTGAAATGGCCACAAGAGAGAAGAATGTACATCAAACCAACAATTATTCCTGTGCAAGCATCCACCACTTGCATCGTGTCATTATGTTGTTTATTAATTCAAGATCTCAGAACCAAGGAAGTTTAGCCCTTAAGTAAACAGAAGAATTATATTTTCATTTAACCTTTCTAGCTACTAAACTCATCTCAGGAGACTACTATGCATTTTTACATTTGTTTTACATATTTTATTCTTTTAAATACTGAGAAAAAAAAATATTTTCATTCATTGAGAAACACAGGTTTTTGAAACTGGAGGGAAAATACAGGAAAAACCTAAAATGTAGCATAAGAAAAATAATGGAAAAGGAGATATTTATCCACTACTATTCTGTTACACCCCCTGGTGGCCAAGAACATACTCTGAACACATCCACTACCTCCATGTATGAACAGGCACATAAAGAGAATTCACCAAAATAAGGACAAATTAAACTTGATGTCTGTATTTGGAGCATGCCTGGTATGCTACACATCACTAAGTCTGGCCATTATATAGTTTTAAAGAAACTGGAAAGAAGAACCCCTTAATTATTAGTCTTCCAAGAAAATTTGAAATTATTAAAGACCTCACAATGCAAGAAAAAAACAAAAATCCCACCTCTCTAGTTGTTTTAAAAAGAAGTCTGTTAAGAAACCAAACTATCTTTTTTACTAAACATGACAGCATAATGCTTGATAATGGGAAAAAAAAAAGCTGACTTAATTGTAGTTTGTGTATGAATGAGAATATGGTGAGAAGTACATGCTGGTACTTAATTTATTTCTTGGCATCCTGCAATGGCACATCAAGGCCAACACATCACACAGACTATTTTCTTATTTCAGCAGTAAAGTTGCCTCTTGATCTATCAAACCTGAATTATTTTTAAAAACTGAGAGGGACAGTGATGAGGAAGAAATGGAAAGGCACAAAAACAGATTGTGGAAGACTGTGGAACAGATTGTTACATCCCTCTCCCTGCAGACTTTCCCAACTGATTACCAAACAGTCCCTTATTAGTTAACATAGGGCTGCTACGGACTTTTCACATTTCTTGTTCTCATCTAGCCCTGAAGCACAGTAACATCGTACTAAAACCAAACCCACCTAAGACATACCTGAAAAAAAGATAATCACAGGACTGATCCCAGATGTAGTCATTGAAAAGTGACACGCGGAAGTCACAAGCAGTGCAACGTAGCTGATCACATGTTCTGGTCAAAGACAAAAAACCAGGAATCTCCAAGAGCTTATTATAATCAGAGAAGATACACAGATCATTGCTGTTTTAAAACCAGACACACTCGGAAATACTAGAAGCAAGGTTAACCTGTAATCTTAATTTTTCATATATCTGGCACATCATTATGTACACGTTCAAACTATATGATCATGTATTCATTTTTACAGGTTCCTAACCCCACGGAATATATCAAATAAACTGATGTTCTCCAGATACATTCTTTTTCATCCTCCTCACTGGTATTGTACCTGACCACCATCCACATATGCATAACTGCATAATTACTTACTACAAAAAATCCTTGATATAAATGCAATGATGTTCTACTGGATACTGGACACACGTATTTAAAGCACCTTCCCTATGGTTAAAGTACCTTTCCTGCAGTTACAGAGCACTCTGCCTGTCTTCGGTTGAGGCTCTGGGCTGCCTATCTTCAGTTCACGCTCTGGGATGACTTAAACCAGCCTAATGTTTAAGTGTCATACTCAGCATCACACAGAAAGCTGATGAGAAGCAGAAAAATACAATACCCTACAGCAGAAATTTCCTTACCTACATGATTTTGATTTTTTGGAGTCTCTTGTCTTATATGCATACATTTTTCAACTCCTCAGATGAGCTAAAGATTTCATGATCAAGAGCAGAGGACTGGAAGGGATGAACTAACTCAGACTGCAGTTACAGGCAGCCATTCAAATGAATACAGGGCTGTCCTGTACAGTTCAAACTCAGAACTCTGTACCACCACAGAAACACAGCTGTGATTAAAAATAATGATAAAGCAACTAGAACTTTTTGTTTTACCTTTTTGAAATATTTGTTCCTATGCCATTCGGTGAAGAGCTTCCACCCAGGTACACTGGACAGCACCTATATGGATTTCAAAAAAAAAAATATTACGTTATAGCGAAACATTTTGGAGAAAGTAATATAGCTTCCTAAACAGTTACGTGTTACACAACATTGCCTTTTCAGCAAGATTTCATCTAGTTTTTTAAAGACATAGTGTTTCTAAGATAATATCTATTGTATACAAGCAAAACATCCAAATGCTTACAAACTATTGAATTTTAAAAATTCCATTGGTAAGATGTTCAAAGAAAAACTTGATGATAACCACTCTCTATGCCAAATACAGGTGACTACATATTGCAGGTTTTGACAGGATGCTGTCGTTCAATAATTACTTAAATTGTAAATAATTTTGACTACATGAAAACACATTAGTAATTCTTCAAAATTAACTTTATATTTATCTTTATGTTTACAGAAAGCTTCTCTAAGTACTCAGTTTTTTTCTTAGTTAATGTCAGTACAAATTAAACATTAGTAATACTACCTGGCTGCAAACAAGCTATAATCAAGCTGTGTTCAACTAGCCAAACATTTATCACTTACCTTCTCCTATGAATCTGTACAGCAGCACTATTGTTCTCAGGTGTGAGTCTTGCAGAATTAGATTTCAATTTCTGTTTAAAAAGCAATCAAAGAATAAAAGGCAGCATTTCAGCATTAAAACAAAATTCTGTTTTACTTAAAAAGCAAGAGCCAGAAAATCTCTGTAACAGAAGTTAGCAAGAGCCAGAAAATCTCTGTAACAGAAGTTGGGGACTAAGAGTTTGTAAGGCTTTTTTAGACAAAATCTGCTGAAGTTACAGATGGATAGGTAACAAGGCTTCTCTTAATCTAATAATTCCCATCTCTGCTTGAAGGAAAACTATGCGATCACTTTGACTTCACACCTTCTTTCTAGTAATTTTGCCTTTAAAAACATATTTAATTTAGGAATCCTCTCCCTCAGTGTTTTTGAGGTTTTATTGAAAACACACCAAGGTCTTATATTATCAGAAGGACAGTGTCTTTGGAAAGTTTATTTGCTGCACATAAAACAGGTTATCAGAATTATAAAATACTGGAATTATAGATCCTAAATTGGAAATCCAAGGGATATAAAATGATAAAATTATACACATTTACTGACAGGTGTAATTTGCTCTCACTAAGATAAACTTGTTGTGGTATACAAGCATGTTTTGTTGGCTCACATTAAATCATCCTGTAAGGAGCAAGGCCAAATAAAACGAAAACAAACATGTTACAAAATTAAACAGAATCTGCGTAGGGAGTTGTATATATAGGAGGTATAAATCACACAACTTTCTACCGATGATACCTAAAAGAAAACCAATTTTCAATGCCTTCCATCACTCTCTTTTTCAGACTGTCTTGACTGTAAATTGGCGGCTTTATCTCCACCTCCTGCTGCCAAACACCAGAAGTCATTTGCAGGTGGCACAGAGTGGTTGGCATGGCTGGTGATTGCCTGCCATTCACAGGGACCTCAACACTTTTCCTGTCAGTGGTCATTACAGTGGAGAGCCTGGCTCCTTGTTTGCTACCCCATCAAGTATTTACTTATCGGTAAGACCGCCGCAAGCTCTCTCTTCCTTGGGCTGAACAGACCCAGCTCTCTCAGCCTCCCTAAAAGAGCTCCAGTCTCTTAATCATCTCCATGGCACTTGAGATGTGGACATAATGGAATGGGTCCAGCAAAGGACCATGAAGGTGATTAAGATCTTTAGACCACTTGACATACAAATAGAGGCCAAGAGAGCTGGCATTTGGCTCTGTCATTTGCCATTATGCTCTATCCTGACTTAGCATCTCCTTTAATTGCCAGTTACTGCCTGCATAAGAACATCTCTTTATATCTCTCCTGTTCTTCACTGTAAAACTGTTGTGCTTTCCTTCCTGTTTTATTCTCCAAGTTTATCCTACAGCTTATTTCAATTCAATTTTGGTTTAAACCAGTTTTAGCTAGTGGTGCTTTTCTTTCCATCGTTGAACTTCTGCACTTCTCCAGACTCATACTCACTGGAGGCATTTTGGCAAAGCTGTCGTTACAGATTTCATCAATAACGTCATCTATATCTTCATCACTGCTGCCAGGACTCATTAACATTTTAGCTGATCTGAAAAACAAACACATTAACCTCCATTTTGTAACGTGATCAGAGCCATTATAAAGAACTGAAAATTAAAAACACAAATTAGTTACATTTTTCCTCTAAAATTACTGTACTATCCAAGGTAGGCCATCCAGATCTTGACTTTCAGTCCCTGTTGAACTGTCCTGTCCCATCATAAACCTTCTTTTTGCTTGTTTCTTTATTTTCTTTTATTTGGAAATAAAGAAACAAGCAAAATAAAGCAAGCTTGAATAAAACACTGGTAATATACCCCATGCTGCACATACTGAGGGTTATTGGGTTATTTGTACAGCCCTAATTTTCAAAGAAATCTTTAAAACATGGAAATAATGTTCTGAAATTGGCAGGCTTTATGCCTCACTCATCCCTTCTAATGGACTCAGGTAATGGACATTGTTCCAGGTGTCCAGAAGCCCCTGCTGGAAATGTAGCAGACTTTCACAGGTGGTCTATCAGCACTGAAAATGGTACTATTACTGGCCCTATGGAAGGGTCGACAAGGCTGCATAACATACGTCAATCTTAAAAGCTGATGGTGCTAAAATATAGCAATAATACACAGCAAAAGTGAAAGCTGTGTTTGAAGAGATGTCTGTTTTTGCTGTATGCAAATTTGAACTTGTTCCTCAGTATTGTGTTTGGAACCAGGGCAGCTTGTTTTTGAAACAGTAAATCTGCTTACTAAAGCCTGTGCCTTCAACCTGGCAATGTACAGAGCTTCCCACAAAAAAAAACCAAACAACTTTTTATTTATTCAAGTGCAGCAGCAGTTTGAACTTCTTTTATAATCCGTAATTTATAATTTATAAACCTCAGAGCTCTTGTTAGCAATTCAGAATGACAAGCTCAGCTGATATTAGAATATAGAGCAAGACTACTCACACCTACTATTATTGGATTAATTGCACATTAATCCTTACAAGCTAGATTCGTGAGGCTGGACACATTTGGCAAGTTCACCTTTCTTTGCCTGTTTGTAAGGGGGTACTCATGTTCTGTGCAACTGTACTGTCATTCAATATGATTGTAATCATATAAAAAAATGGGCCATTTCACACAGTTGTCCACAAGAAGTTGTGCTCTCTCTGCTGTTTCAAAAAAGATGATTCAGTGCATATTGTGATGGATCTGAAGAATCTGAAGTGACAGTGAGGACTGCACAATCACGGTCTCAATACTTCAGTAAGAGTAGACTTAACTGAGGAAGCAGTGAGGATCAATCTCCTTCTTAGAAGCCTCAAAGGATAATAAGAAACATATTCCACTGTGGACCTACAGTCAGTGAAAGAATCCAGCGAAGTCAATGCCAGGCTGCTAATGTGCTGGCAGAAAGCTGCTTCACGGGCAATGCTAGCTTTCTTTACATTTATGAAATCAGACAGTGTATATATGTATGTTCTATGCAATGAATAAACGCACAACCAGAATTCGTACTTTAGTAGAATCCGTGCCACTCTTACAAACAGCATCTGTTGGAAAAATGGGTTTGAAACATGTTTGCACTTACTGATTTCCTCAGCACAGTATACAAGTCGTAAGAGTTGTGACTGAATTAGTGAAGGACACATTGCCATTTTGACTGTAATACATTATGACTGTAAAAGCTGCGATAAAAGTGAAAAAATGTTTAAAAAAAGATATAGCTACAGCAGAGATGTTTTGAATTTGAATATTGGCATAATCCAGTCAACTGAGTGCTGACAACTGTTTAGCTGCAACACGGGTGAGTAACAGTCTCTCTCAAATAAAACTAGGAAATTCAATACGAAAATACTTGTATACAGTAATTCTACAACACTGCAATCCCAGAAAAAAAGAGGAGTATTTTGACAACTGCTTGGGTACTGAAAGGAGGCATCACCTTCAATTTCGTAAAGCAACTGGCAGACCCATGGAAAAGGACTCCGTGGCCAAAATACTGCAACAGGCAGTAATTTTATAAAGTTTAAGGTCACAGAAAGTATGCTGGTGGTGAAGCAGCAGTGCTTTAACACTGAAAAGGGGTTCTGAAGGAATTCCTGCCAACCTGCATGCATTTAGAGAAACCACTGGCGTGTTGTTTTCACTCAATTGTGAAGTCATGTCACTTGAGCCTGCTGTTGGCGAGTTCTTTGTCAAAGAGAGGCCTGATATACCTCTGCACCAGCAAAGCCAATCTTGAGAAAGAAAACTGTCATTTTTAAAAAAATCTAATAAGATTGACTTAATTTAGATGCTCATTAAGCAAACAAGGAGGAAGTCCAGCCCTGCGGCCAGACGTAGTGGGCTTGTTAGTCCTGAGCCAGTTATTCGGCTCTTCAGGACTGGGAAGATGTTCAAGATGGGGACATCTCCAAGATGTTCCAGCCTGGGACACCTGCATCTGCTGCTGACCTCTGGAGGGGGACAGGTGACAACCCTGCAGGTGGCAGGGAAGCCTGAGGGCAGGCGGTGGTGGCAGTGCCCGAAGATGTCGGCGCAGGAGCTGTGTTGAACATCACCGAGTTTGAGGTAAAGGCGTGCAACGCAAGGTAGGGGCTTACTGTAGAGGATTAGTAGAAAAAGTGTTAAGAGAGCACGTAAGCAATGCACATAATCAATGGAAGGAAACATTTGAAAATGTTTTATCTACTGATACAGATCCTCCTGTTACAAACTGCGGGTCTTGCACTTATTTTAGTTGTCATAGGGTCGGCTGCAGAGCCTACCACCGCCCCTTTGCAACTCGCAAGCAAGCTGATGTGGGTTTAACGCCACTTTTACTCCGATTCTCCTAAGGGACAAGGATGAGCAGAAGCAACAGGGCTCGCGGGCACACCACTCGGGTGTTTATAAACAGATAACCACAAACTCTGACCGGCGCTCCGGGCCCTTCATCGCGGTGGATCTGAGCCCCAGCACAGCCCCGACCCCTCCCGCTGGGCAACACCGCGCCACCGGGCGATGCATGAAGGGGAAATACCCACTCAGGACGCTAACCTGCCCTTCGCCGCCGCCCCTTCCTCCTCCTTTTCGCCCTCCTCATCCTCCCGGCCGCCTCGCAGCGGGCCGTGGGCCGCCCCCGGCGCCGACAGGCGGCAGAGCCGCGCCTCCACCTCGTCCAGCAGCAGCTCCAGCTCGTCCGCCATCTTACCGCCGGCGCCACCCGCTGCCACCCCAGCCGGCAGGGGAGGAGCCCCCGAGCCCGCCGCGGTACCGGGGGCACGGGGAGGGACCGGGAGGGGTCCCCCTTCGGCTGCCGTGCCGCCCGTAGGGCGTGCGGGAATTAAAAAAAAAATAAATAAATGGGGAGTTAAAAGGTGCACGGAGCTCGGGGAGCTCCGGCCGTAGTCGGCAGGATTCGAACCTGCGCGGGGAGACCCCAATGGATTTCTAGTCCATCGCCTTAACCACTCGGCCACGACTACGCATATTGATAGTTCTCCTCCCAGCACACTATGTCTGTCGTCTCTCGGGACGGAGCTGGGCGTTTTCTGGTCAAAACTACAGGGGTGTAGGCTTCGTCTGTGAGGGTGAACTGAAAAATATAGAATAGAGGCGCATTTAAATGCTTAACGCGCTTTTTGGGTCGCTCGGTCTGTTGTGTGTTGGTCTGTTTGGAACAAAAAGGAAAAGGATTTTCTTGGGTTGCTGTGATCATGAAACGGCCCAACTTCGCTACATCCCCCCAATAAATGCCTCTTTATTTATTTATTTTTTTCTTAATTTAGATGCACTTGTCAAGAGAAGGGACTCGGTGCCTAAAAACAGGTACATTCCTGTGCACATATCCCAGTCAGCCTGTAGGGAACTCATGGGAAGGCTTTGGCGTGGCTGGAAGGACGCTGGTGGCACTGGGCTGGGGCTTCTGGAAGGTTCTGGCCAGTCGCAACCAGTTCTGGCCAGTTGCAGCCAGTTCTGGCTGGTTCCAGCCAGTTCCATCCAGTTCTGGCCAGTTTCAGCCGGTTCCAGCCAGTCTCAGCCAGTTCTAGCCGGTTCCAGCAAGTTCCATCCAGGTCTAGCTGGTTCCAGCTGGTCTCATCTGGTTCTCGCTGGTTTCTGCCAGGTCTGGCTGGTTCTGGCCGGTCTCAGCTGGTTGCAGCCGGTTCCAGCCAGTTCTGGCCGGTTCCAGCCAGTTCTGACCAGTTCCAGCCAGTTCTGACCAGTTCCAGCCAGCCTCAGCCAGTTCCAGCTGGCACGCCAAGCAAAGTGGCTGTGGGCAGGCTGTGACCTGGTAATTAGCAGGTTCTCAATCAGCACTGAGTGCCCCAGCCATACACAGTGTCTTTAAAGGGCTCTTTAGGAGATACCTTAATCAAGCAATTTTTTCCTTGAGTGTGCTTTATGTAAGATTTTGAAGCAAACCCCTATAAAAGCAGCATTTTGCCTGTGTTAAGCACAAAACAAGGCACTACCATCTCTGGTCGGCTGACAGAAAGCTCAGTGCTCGCCCCCCTCACCAGGACCGTGCAAAATTTGTGATGAAGTGGGGGCTGCAGTCCTTAACAGCTCTGAGCAAAGCCTCTCGGTTACAAGGTGTTTTACAATCCTCCTGGCATTCCCTGTAATGAGCTGCAAGCCCTGTTTGAATTCCCTTGTACTTAAGCTTTTATTTATTTGTTCCATTTTCCTCCCCACGCATCTCGGGGCTCCTTTAATACCCCAGCCGGTGCGATGGCAGCGCTGCTTGGGGGATGTGTTGGGTAGAGCAGTTGTGAGCCTTCCCTGGGTTGATGTGATGGAAGAAACTAAATAGCGTTGATGCTGCTCCAGCTCTTTTAAGTGGTCCCTTGGTTGGGACTCAGTGTCATGTAGGTAAATTCAATCCAGAAGAAGCGGATTTTTTGGTGGAATTTTTACATTCATCTCTCGCAGCTGTGGAGAGTTTAAACTAATCACAATTCTCCCTGGTATGCTATCATCTCTGTAATTTGAAAAAGGATCAGGAGCCCACAGGCTTGGAAAATCTTGAAGAAACTCTTGTCCTGAAATACATCATCACATGTGGAAAAGACCACTTGCTGCATCATCTTAAAGGAGCTTAAGAATGCCGAAATCCAGTATCATTCTGGCATTCTTTCAAGTGGCCTTAGAAATCCGAGTACATTCTCTTTTGACTGCAAAACAGCTTCTTTCCTTTTCCATCAATACTGTGGCTGTCAATGTGTCTGCTGTAAGGTGCCAAAAATGTATGGAGTGTCTCTGGGATAACGGTGCCAAAATTGGGGTGCCTCAAGGCCTTCCCCCATGAACCCACTGCAGCATTTACTCAGTTGGAAAGCATTTGAAACAAAAAAAAAAAAAGAAAAAAAAAAAAAAAAGAGGCACAGATCTTTAAAATTCCTCTGCAAAGGAATAAAAAAAAAAAACCTGCAGAGATTATTTTTGTGCAGATTACTGCCTGCTGTTTAGATCCTTGTTGTTCAAAACTTCTGAAAGGCCCAAAGCAATCAAAGAGACTGGGTCAAATTAATTCCAGACCAGTCCCTGGAATCACATTGAGGTGAAGCTGACATACTGGGCCTTCAGCTAAGCTGTGGCCAGGAGAAGTATAGGAGACAGGAGTTGAGGTCACATCCTGAATTTTGCCCTCTCTTAGGAGATGAGTGAATTAATTTGCGCAAATCATGTCTCTTGCTGACTGCATGGGGCTTGTATCGGTGCAAACAGAATGGTTACTGACTGCTGAGGTCTGGAAAAGTGTCAATCTCAAGTGCAGAACAATCATTTTGTCTGGCAACACTTTTTAAAAATTTTATTTAAAAAAGACTCTTCATAGTGTATCCTCAGGAAGAGAGGACAGAAAGCTGGAAGGCTGGCCTGAGTAGAAGCCTTCATGGTCTCTAAACCACAAGCCACTGCAAGCCTTCTCAGCTGTGTTGATAAAACCAGCTTTTGCCACCACAGTGATGAGGACAAAATAACTTGCTAGGGCGGGATGTTAATTTACCTCCTGTGTTTTCTCTGGAAAAACAAAGAGAGCCTTAACTGAAGTCAATCAGAGCTTTCCTCAGTGCCCTTCTCTGAATGAGCGATCTCTGGTGTGCAGGCGATGATAAAGGCTGGCAGAGCTGGGACGTACCGAAGCTGCCATTTCGTCTGTGCTGTGCTACCTGCAGCCAGCCAGGAGGGAAATGAACACAGGGAGGCCTTCTTCTTGATGTGGTGATGACATGTTGCAGCCCTTTCTGCATTTCCAGCTCTTGCCCCAGAAGCTGGGGTGGAGGCAGGAGCACAGCAGCTGCCTGTCACCAAGGTGTTGTGCTGCCTTCAGCAAATGTAAACGGGTCGTGCCCCATTTTCCAACCAGTCCAACTTCTTGCGCCCAGTCACGAGTTATTGCTCTAATCCTGTTCCTGGTCACACTCCAGTATAATATCATTTTGAGTGACACCACGCTTATTTTCCAGTAGTGGTGCAGTGCATTAACACGAGTAAATTCAGGCTGAATGTAGATTCTTGGCCGTAATTTAACCAGTAGTAAGCATTTCTGTGGATGAAATTATTCTCTGTGAAGATATCAGATTGGGAGACAACTTCTTGAAAGACTGCTTGGCAGCAAAAGTAGCACTGTGTGCAAGATTCCTAGTGTAATGTTATTAATTTGTGATGTTGAGAGACAGCCTTGGATCAGAGGACCGTTTAAGCTGGAGGCCAATTCAGTCTTGGACTTCAGTGTTGATCCTTCCATCAAAGGTGCCAGCTCAGAACGTGGATTTTCAGCTTGGTTTTCTGGCACAGCTGCCTCACCCGTGAGGACCAGACTGGCATTAGGACTGGAACAACTTGCAGTTACTTCCAACCTTTCCTCAGATTAATCATTTCAGGCTTAGGCTACCTGAGCAGCCATCACCTGGTTCCTAGACTATCCACTTCTCTTGCATAGGGAGATATTCCTGAGGAGATATTCCTGAGGAGAGCAGCTAAGTGTCCCCAGTGGCAACCTAAGCCCTTGTTGTCAGCACTATACATACTTTTGGATGTTTTTAGCCACACGTGCCCATTTGCAAATTAGTCTAATAGTGTAGCATTTACCTAGGGAAGGATAAAGTTTTCAGGTTAGTATGCAAAGCAAAAAACCACTTGTCTATGAGTCTTTTTTATGAACCTGGTGTAGCCTTGAAAACTGCCTATAAACATGACATTTCTATTTCCAAGAGGGCATAACAAACACTGGAAAGTCATTTCTAGAAAAATAAAAAACAACCCAAACCTGTTAGCTTCTAAGGCAGTGTATCAAGACAGTCACACTTGCAAATCAATGATAATGATGTGTAACTTCAAATAAAAATGGTGTTGCCAGGCGCTGCGTGGCTTTGCTGCACCTGCATTCTCTGGCACCGAGGGTGTCTGTCCCTGTAAAGTGAGGCAGAGGGAGGCACGTAGTGATAAAGCAGGGTAATGCAGGGGAAGCATCTCATCACAAGGAAAAAATGTTTCAATCTAGAAGATAGAAATAATAATTAGTAGTAAATATAAAATAACCAACAGTCCAGGAAGGACCAAAGCTGTGGAACGTGAGTAGTAAGGAACAAGCGTCCAGCAGAGAGGACCGGGGGCTATTGTGGAAAAATCCTTCTTGCTGCCCATTGCACAGCTGCGGCGAGAGACAAACAGCATGCAAGGCCATCCTAGCTGAGGGACACGAGAGTCGAAACCAAAGCAGCGATAGTATTACACCACCCTTGCCAAGGCTGGAAAATATTTTTCAGGGATGATTCTCCAGATGAATTGTGAGCTGGGAACAACGAGCCTATAAGCCACGGGGTCGTGGTGTGAGTATGCACGTGAAGGGGAAGTTTGCTGTTTGTATGAACTCTAGCTGATTTTGTATTATTTTGGTTTTGGATACATTTGTGGCTAATCCTGCAAATGGATACAGCTTTCATACACTCCTTCTGCAGCTTGCTCTGCTAGAAGAACTGAAGCCGAGAAATCCTATCATTTTTTGCCACAGCACTGCCTTAGCATGTGCCTTTCTGTCAGGATGATGCTGTGCATCAACAAACACCACAGGAGAACCCAGCCCTACCAATGCAGCTGAGCACATAACAGGAGGGCACCTGGAGAGAAAGAGGTTGCCCCTCCAGAACAGTGCCAAGCAAGAGGCCGAGCCATATGACAGGCACAGGCTACAGTTAGGGCCAGCAATGTGTAAAGGAGCTGCAAGTGCTCTGAGATTTCTGTATCTGGTGATCTGTCTGCTCTGTCTTTGCCATGTTGCTTTCCTGCTGCCTGAATGTCCACATCTGTTCTGATCAGGCTCCTCTGCAGGCCCCTCGGGTGGTTGAATCTTGGTGGGGGGAGCCGTGTAGGGGTGGGCTCATACCTGCTTTTTTGGCAGCCCAGCCCAAAGGCTACATCTTCAGGCACAGAGGAGAGGAATTTAAAGAAGATTATGTGGTCAAATCTATGTGCTGTGTGGCTTCTCTGTCCACCTATAACTGTGGTAAGTACCAGGGTGTCCATCTCTTCTTCTGTGGCATTTAGACATGGGTGCTCTCTTGCCTTGTCTTTCACTTAGCCTGCCAGCTCTTTGGCCAAAGTTTGCTCTTGCCTTGTCAAGGTAGTAAATTTTTACCTGCAGGTAATTTCTATGGACTAGAACAAATCAGTATTTTCTTGGTCTAGCAATTCAACATGGTTTTACCTAAGGATTTTTGGATCTTGTTTTAAATGCTTAATGGATCTAAGTAGGTCTTGTGATATTTTATTTATTTATTTATTTTATTTTGGCAGGCATCATGTGTGTGGTAAAGCTAGCAGTTTGAGATATTCTAGTTTCAGAGCCCTCAGCAGAACAGACTTGGACATTTCTTCCTTAGTCCCCAGGATGCTGCGTATCGGGGGAACTGGAGGTGGCACTTAACAGGGTTGGTGCTTTCACATAGGAGGTTCTGGATACATTCCTTTGTTTGACTGTGTAATATGTACCTGGTTTCTGGTACAAGAATGCTGGTCAGTGAAAATACACGTTAGACAGAATCACGTATTACATGAATGCTATTTGCATGTGTGACTTTGTATATGTACAGTCTTCTGTTAAAATGACTTAGAAGAAAATCAAGGGGAGCAATGCCTTTTGCAGTTTCCTTTTAACACTTCTTCTCTTGGAGCTTGATAAATGCTAAAAAGAAACCTTCATCTCTGTAAGTCAGTAATAAGCTTTTAATTTTGGGCTTGAACAGTTTTGTTCCAGTTCAGATATCGAACAGTGTAGTTTTCTAAAGGCGGAATGATTAAAGGTGAAGTCATAGAAAATAAAAGCTAGAACCCCACTGGTTTCAGTGGTGTCAGGGTGTCACACTGAAGGTGAAAATCCAGTCCATCTAATTGGAAGTTTCATTGCTTCTTGCTTGAGAACACGAACTGGTGGCTTTGCTTCCAGCTCCAAGTCTTGTCTCCCAGCAGAGGGCATTGCAGGGTGACATTACTGTTTTTAGAACAAGCTGGCAGAAGGTAAAGTGAATTTCAAGGAGCTGTTTGACTGGTCTAAAATTTATTTTAATGACCTCCACTGGGAGAGTAGATTATCAGTCATTTAAAACTAAAGATGCCGCTAGTGAACTGTGTAGTTGGAAGATAAAAGGAATTTTTCCTTGCATTCTGAAAAACCTTTATGCCAGAAAGAGAAAACTAGTGCCAGAAAGTGTTTTCTCTTCAGAGTCTCAATCACACAATTTATTTTCCTCTCTTAAATGACACTGTAGGCTGAACTGCAAAGGCTTGTTTCAGGCTCAGACCCTCCTGACATTTGGTACAAAATTCTAAACTGTTCGCTTTACAAGCGAAATGCAGAATTTAAGTAAAAATGATGTGAGCAACAAGGGGAAGAGAGAAACTTCATTAATTCATGGTAGATGTGGTGAATGACAAACACAATTTCAAAAGGTAGACATAGGAAAGAAGGTGATTTTTAAACAGACGGAGGTGTGCTTTGTATCAAACCAAGAAGCTGTGGGGTACCCACACACCTTTTGGCAGTGTGTAGCTTTCAGTGCCAGCTTTTGTTTTTGTTTTTGTTTTTGTTTCTGTTTTTGTTTTTGTTTTTGTTTTTCTCCAGCTCTGCCCCAAGCCCTGCGTACCCCACATTACATGGCAGGAGCACATCCAGGGGGAAATCACCATGCAGGGCAGATGAAGTGTCCTCTGAATCTATCCCTGCAGCCTGGCCCGTCCTGTCCATCTGCCTGGAACTGTAGAGCCAACCCATGTCCTGGAGGCAGTGGATTTCCTGTAAGTGTTCAGGCTGGCTCCACAACATGGGCATCCTGCTATGTTGCTGTCTGTTAGTCCAGTTTATTGTGTGGCCATTCAGCAAGCTGAGTGGGCACATGCCTTGAAAGAGGGAAGTGAAAGGCTGAGGAGATGAGACTGAGAGGTGTGTGGAGCAATAGTACTTTCTCGTGTCTAGTATTTGTTCTTTGGCTAGTCACAAGGGGACTTTAGCGTGTGCAGAAGTTACTATCCTCATTGTAGTTTTACTGGTAGAAAAACTGAGGCACACAGGAAGGTGTATCCTGCCCAGGGTCATCAAGTAACATCATCACAAAAATTACTAAGCCCACTCCAACCACTCCTGTTGGTGAAGTTTCAGCCTGGTACATCATATACTCACTACGCTGTGTCACACTTATGTGCTGCAGTGAGAAAAACTTGCAAAGATTAATAAAAAAAGTGCAGGTGGGCAAGAGTTAGAAAGCAAATTCTCCTACCTTGATTTTTGACAGTGTTCTCACCAAGGATAGTTTACGGTGTTAAAACCAAAGGGACTTGAAGAGAGCAAAGGTCCTGCATTTGAATTTCAATGAACGATACTGAGGGAGTGGTTGGGGTATTTTATAAATACCCTAAAAATACCTAATAGGCATTCTGCTCTGGAGGACTTGAAAGGACCGTAACCTTTCCTAGAGTTTAACAACACATTTCTCCATAAAACTAACTTAGGAGAAATTCCCTGCATTCCCACACCGAACACTTAGCAGTCTTTTCAAACTTATGATATGGCTATAAATATAGCTTATAACCATAAAATTAAGGTTATGTGGACTTGTAACTTTTTATTTTATGCTAGCTCTGTGGGCCACTAGCAAATTCTACAGGGGTTACTGTCCTGAAGTCTGCAATGAATTATGCGAGTAAAGTAAGAGGAAACAAAACACAACATAGAAAGCAACCCTCTCTCTTTAAACAGACACATTGGGTGTTTAAGGGGAAAAGAAGGGCAAACAAAGGGAAGGGGAATCCACCATGAAATTCACAACTTATCATGCTCTACAATTTCAATTTCTTTTGACATAGATCTTTGTTTTGTACAGGAAACTTGCTAGCCTACATGGTCGTGATTGCACTCGGGGGTGTTTAATGGCTACGGAACAACTGAAGAAAAGGTGATAGATCTTATATGTAATTAGTAGTGCTTCCTTGGAAAGCTACTGATGAGATTGTGTCAATCTGTGCCAGGTGAAGCCCTAAAGTTTTGCAAAATTCAGATTTTTTTTTTACTGTGATTGTACTAGAAAATCTTGTTTTATTTGTAGCTGTGTCCTTGCAAATTGCATTATAGACTGTGAAGTTACAGAGCTCCTGTTTTTTCCAGAAAATGTGCACTGCATTTATTGTGTGGTTTTACAGCATGTAGAAGACCTCTGGCTTTCCAGTAATGTAACTGTGAACTAAGACATAATAAAGATAGTCTGCTTTTTTTTTTTCCAGTAGTGACTATAGAGTCAAGTTGCCTCAGTTTTTAGGTTCCTGAGCAGAAACTCCTGAAATACCTCTGCTTTTAAGAAAAGAGGTGAGCAGAATTTTCAGGAAATCAGTCCTTTCTAAGGTAAATTTGTGACCTTCTCATAGTAGTTTTGAGGTCTTGAGAACTTTGAAGGCTAACAGCCACCTAAAGGACAGCCTTCTTTAGCATGAGAGCCCGCTTTACTGAAATCTCTATCTGGCTTCTGCGGTGATTACAAACATTTGGACAGCATGGAAATTGGATGTGTCTTTACTGACTCAGACCCTTAGCTAAAAGAAATATAGCCACAGCAGGAGGGGGCTAAGGAAGGGAGCAATTCATTTAGTTTTCCAATAGTATTGCAACAACATGGCCATCGTAATTTAAAAGCCTTTGGAACAGTCTTCTTCATTTCCTCCTATCCCACTCCCTCAACTTTTTGTCTTGGTCTGGCTTTTGTTCACTTCACGCAGCCTGCCAGACCAACCTGAGCCTGCCTGAACCCAACCGGTTGGTCCCTGACGTAATCCCGAGTGGTGACCTGAGAGGCCGACCTCAAGATTTGCCGGGCGGAAAAGGACCCACTTGGTTTTAAAGTGCTGGCTCTGTTTTGTAAGGGGCTGGCAAAGTATGTTTTTCTTTTTACTTTTATAGCTTGTTCCAAAGTCCATAGAGGATACACAGCTGGCTGGCAATACCACAGCTAATTCCATGGCTGCAGAGTCTTAAAAAGCCTCTGGTGATGATGCTCGAAAGCAAGGCACAGGAGTAGTGCACACTATGTAATATGCACGCTGCCTACAGACCTGCATGCACTCCACAAATGCACAGCATTTTCAAGGTGTTTCATTAATCTGTAGTGGAAATAAAGCACACGTTTCTATAGATAGCAAGTTCTAAGTGCTCCTGATCTGTGTCAGTTTTGATTCTACTCCATTGCTCCTTGTTCTCCCTTGTTTAATGCCACCTGAAGTGAATGACGCCTTCCAAACCTGTTTTACATTTTGGTACTTGCTTGTGTCCAGACAATAGCAAGCTGTTGTTTTAGAACTAAATAAATATTCTGATTCCAAATGAATTCACGTCTTTCTCTTGTTTGATTATTTATTGATGATAGTTTTGTTTTCTCTAGTGTGTATATTTTTAAGAGTTTTTCATTTTTCTTCTGTGGGATTATCAGCAGTCTGAAAAAGTCTACAGGGCAAAAAGAGCACAAATATACTGTAATTTCATCTAAATCATGACCTGGAAAAGCAGCATGCAGAGAAATAAACAGTAATAATCCTTACAGAACTAATCTCCATTTCTCTCTTCCAAATAAGGGGAACTGCAGACATGATACACATCTCTGCAGTAGCAATCCTAATGATAGTTCTACGAAACATGGAAACTGGACAGTTCTCCCAAACATGTGCTGGTAGCTAGGATGAGGTAGTATGTATTTTCCTGTTGTTGGGTAAAGGCACCCACCCAGTCTTTACATGTGAGCACTGACATGAATTATCTTACTGTGAACATGACAGAGCCCATCACCTTCACTCAACTAAACGTTTCTGTTTCTCAATAACATAAACTAATCGGGACATATGCAGCTGAAGGACACATTCCAGTTAGATTTAGGTACCTAAAACTTAAATGGGTTTTAAGCATCTCAGGGAGGCAGCACCATCAGAGCAGTATTGGGAATTTTGCGAGTAGTACCTAATTCTTTTTTTTTTTTTTCTTTAATTTCATATTTCCTCAGTTGTCTGCAGTTCTGCTGCTTGGCAGGCTCATAGCCACATAGATCTGCTTGACATCCAAGCCAGGTGGAGATCTAGTCCAAGGTCTTTGGGACAAACCTTCAAGAAATTCTCAGAGCCCAGGTATCAGGAACAACGTAAGTCCTGAAAAGTATGCAATAGAGTCTCTGTTCTTTCAGACAGGTTATGGCTACATCTTCTTTCACGCCTAGGAGATTAGTGCCCTTACCCAGGATGTGCAAAATCAAGATCCAGATCCATTCCTTGCTTGAAAAAAAAAATCCAGAACTCTTCCTCACCCATTTCAGGAAAGGCTTTAACCTCTCTTGTTTGGAGAGGTGTTCTCAGTTCCTCTTGCGGTGCAGAATAGAAAGCAAGACTCAACAGCTACCATTTAATGTTTGTTAGTTGTTAGCTTTGGGGTGTTTTAGGGATGCACTTCTCCAAGAGTGTTTTGAGTGATTTTTCATTTCCCATTGAATAATTAATGGAGGAAAGCATTTCTGTAGGCCATGGACCACAGACTGGAACTTGAGTTCTGCTTATCCTCAGTGAGTGTCCCAGGAGGTCATGCAGCCATGCTGGTGTGGCTTTGGCCTGAGAGGCCGGAGGGGTGTTTTGTGGTTAGGGTATGAACTGTGAGCTATTCAGGCAGAGGGAAGAACTGCTGACATGCTCTGTCCAGTAGGCTACTGTATAAAACATTGGTGGTAGGATCTCTGACCAAAATGATCTATAGCTAGCTGTTGAAAGATGGAGCTTCAGGAGCTCTGGGGCTCTTGATCTCAAGGCCGGTGGGGTGCTCTGTGGCACAAAGAAAGGAGCTTCACCTGTGTGAGGAGTGGAAGCTGCTGACACCCTCCTGATGCCCGTGTTTCATGTTAGTTAGCTTGTCTAGAGCTAACATCTCAGTGCTGGGAGTGTTGGGATCCCTTCCTGGGATTACTGACTGAAACTGAACACAAGGGAAGCCTGCCTGTGGAGGGGTTGCTTCTATTCCAGTGCCTACTGCTCAGGCCCTGCAGCTTTCTGCATTCAGTCCTTGCTTCTTGTATTGTCACAACTGTTGAACCACAAAGTTGCCTCGTTTAGTGAGTCTTGCTTGACCAAGACTAGAGTTCAGATATGCAGCTGTTGTTGTTTATCTCAATGGGTTAAGATTCATGAATCACTTTTCTTTACACCATTTAACTGGAGAATGTGTCTGAGAGAAGGTCCAGCTCCATAGTATTTTTATTTGTGGACAATCCAAGCAGTAACTGTTGGTTGCCTGCAAGGCATATATCCATCTGCTCACTCTGTTGGTACTGAAAGAGGCATCCATTTTCTTCACCCAGGCTTCTGTGAGTCCTCTCTAGTGTGGCCCCAGCACAGAGCACAGTAGGAATCTAGAACAGAATTGGCCAAAGGGATAAATAAATGCAACATAGTCCAAGACTGAGGAAAAGATTTTCATGGATTCATTATTTTTAGCTACAGTTGTGCTTTTAGCCACAGCTTCTCTGTGTCAATCAATGATCTTAATGATGAGCAATGTCTTTCATTCAGTGCTTTGGCCTCTGAGGCAAAAAGTAGTGAGTTGTACAACTGTTCAGGAAAGACAATAACTTGCCTCAAGAAATAATAATTTTATAAAGGTAAAGTGTTCTGGGTAGGGCAGACCAACCAGGTGCAACAACAATGTCCTTTGTAAGTGGTTTCCAGGCAGCTAAAATACTCCTAGGATATCTGTCTACCTGTGGTCTTGATTTTAACTTCCTTGTCCACTTTCTTCCCCATTGATTTCTTCCTTCTTTCATTTTCTTCCTTTTCCCAGTTACATTCCTGGCTGTCAGTACTGAAATGTTCCTTTGTTTTGTGTCCTCTGCCACTCCACCAGCCAAACAGTGGCCTGAATTCAGGGCCCTATGAGGCACACATGTACGTACTCGTTACCCCAAGGCTGCCCTGAGCCCTAAGGCTCTGTACCTCCTTGGTCACAGATCTGTGGCACTGTTGAGTGCCCGTTCCCTTATCATGCACACCTGTAATTCATCTCACTGTTACCTTCACCCACCCTGGCACACACTTAGGGCATCTTCTGATGCCCAACTCACATTCCTGTATCCTTAGTATTGTCATCTCCCAGCCTTGAGACTTGGCAATACTTTGGGGTTCTTCTGGGAGAAAGAAGAAACACCAAAAGAACCCACCGAAAAAAAAAAAATCCTCCATGAGAAAAAGTGGGAGGATTTGGTGTCTGTTGGAGACCACAGTGTGAGCAGTGACTACGACTATCACCCAAGCACCAGGCTCCTGTATGATTCTGAAGGCAGGTTATTAGTCTGACTAGTTTTAAATTGGCTTCTATGATTTGTTCTTACCAATGGCTTTGCTATATCTAGCATAGGAAAACCAAGGCTAGCAAATGAAAACTGAACTGCAAAAGTGAACTTGCCTCGTGAAGATAAAATTGAGTTTTATATAGTCACGCATTTTATAATCATTATGATGAATTGTGATTGTTTTCCAGGCGAGAAATGACAATATCTGTAAAACTGTTCCTGCACCAAGGCTGTATTTTCTGTATAGCTCTGATGGAAAACGTGATTCATGGATTATTACATTTTTTTTCATTATAAGTTTTGGGTTTTCCATTATTTCTTACAATTCCTTTAGGACAATGCTGGATTCCTGAGTTCATATGCTCCAGGATACCTGCATGTAGTTTACATGCAATTTGTGGAAAAAAAGATAAGTGTTTGAGAAGACTGGACTCTACAGCCACTGAAAACTGGAAGGAGAGAAATTTTTACAGCTAGATTTCACAGTCTGGGTTAAATCTTAATCACAACCATGCTGGTATAAATCCAGAGTAACTACACAGTTATACATGCTGGTATAAATCCAGAGTAACTACACAGGGTTTCTCAATAAGGGTCCTGACCACAATGCTGCTGAATTAAACACAGCTCGCGCCCAGTATGTTCCAAGCCACACTTTGATGTAAATATCTTTTGGTGGATGTATACAAGTCCAGGCAAGTTCACAAGCAATTGTCTTTTATATTGCTGCTTTCTAGTGCTCTACTGGAGTTCTTGGTAACCGAAGTAGTATAATACAGAAAGCCTTAGTACTACTCTAGGAAATACAGACATAAGAGAAAAACCTAATGAAAATATTACAGAAATGTGATTCTAAGGTTAACAAATGTCGTTAGTCAGGTTGCCAGCGCTGTCTAGATAGTGCCATAGCGACACTTGAAGAAAAATGAATAGAGTATTGCCGGAGAGATTGTAGGAACTAGACAATATAACATTTCAAAGGTTGTGTTTTCCCCTTTGTGTGCATATAGTCAAGGAAGAACATACCACATAGGAAAATTAGTGAGCCTAACACATTTAACATCATGGCTATCCCTGGCATGCTTTCCGTAGTTAGTTTAAAATTGTGTTCCATGGACTTACAGTACTTTCTTTGATTTGTTGCCAATATTTACTTAAGCAAATTGAAGAGCTCATGTTATACTAGGGTAGAAAGAGTGATAAATTGCAAAAATGTAGTAAATGCTAAAACTAACGTAATTTTTCAGAAGAAATCTGAAGAACTTATTCTCATGGCTGATAACTTTAACAGATTGAAAGGAAAACGTGATACATAACACAGTCAATAAGTAAGAACTGATAGATGAGTGATGCAGGTTCAAATGTCTACAGTAACTTGAAGAGGTTTTGGCAAGGCATTTCTACTGGGTTCAGTGAATCACAGTTCATTAGTATTCTAAACAAAAGCTTTGAATTGTAGAAAAAGCTTGCGAGTTATTCCGTTCAAATGTGAGAACTGAGAAGCTGAACTCTGCCTACAAAAAAGTAAGCCCCAATATTGAGTTCAGGATAGAGTTTGGCCCACTGTAGTTCTTTTAGCCAGTTTTCTTGTTTCTTGGAGAAAACTGTTGTAAAAACTGTATTTTCAGAGTGGCACATAGTAGAGACGGCATGGACCAAAACTAAAAGCCTGAACTGGTACACTAATTTTACTGCAAGTCAAATCTAGGTTTAAATAAAAAATGTTTTACTTTCTGGGAATCTCTTTAAATGAAAAAAATAAAAATGATTTTACATAATAGATTATTATATCAATTTATGAAAAACAAAATAATTTCAAATAGATTTGGATGGAGTCTGTCTGTGGAATTACAATTTCAGGAACATACTGTGTATTTCTGGTGGTTATACTGGAGTGCTGGTGGTTTATGCTTCTGGGCACTGCTGGAAATCTGAAGATTGCTTAGTTTATATTAAAGCCAAGTGGATTAGGTGGATTCTAGGTGGATTCTCAAGATATTTGACTGAAGTTA